GGTTCACACAGCCAGCACACTGTATACTAACCGGGTACTGAGCCATGTCAGTATACACAGCGTATGGTGCACACAGCCAGCACACTGTATACTAACCGGGTACTGAGCCATGTCAGTATACACAGCGTATGGTGCACACAGCCAGCACACTGTATACTAACCGGGTACTGAGCCATGTCAGTATACACAGCGTATGGTGCACACAGCCAGCACACTGTATACTAACCGGGTACTGAGCCATGTCAGTATACACAGCGTATGGTGCACACAGCCAGCACACTGTATACTAACCGGGTACTGAGCCATGTCAGTATACACAGCGTATGGTGCACACAGCCAGCACACTGTATACTAACCGGGTACTGAGCCATGTCAGTATACACAGCGTATGGTGCACACAGCCAGCACACTGTATACTAACCGGGTACTGAGCCATGTCAGTATACACAGCGTATGGTGCACACAGCCAGCACACTGTATACTAACCGGGTACTGAGCCATGTCAGTATACACAGCGTATGGTGCACACAGCCAGCACACTGTATACTAACCGGGTACTGAGCCATGTCAGTATACACAGCGTATGGTGCACACAGCGAGCACACTGTATACTAACCGAGTACTGAGCCATTTCAGTGTATACAGCATATGGTACTCACAGCAAGTACACTGTATACTAACCGGGTACAGAGTCATGTCCTTGTATACAGTGTATTGTACTCACAGCGAGCACACTGTGTAGTTACTGGGTACAGTGCATACTGAGTGCTATACATTTTTTCAGTGTTTACTTTTATTACTCGAGCATTACAGTGAGCTATGTCTAATAGTATGCAATGTGCTGCCACTACTTGCAGCATACAGTGAGCTGTAATTAACAATAAACAGTGTGTACACTGACATTGTGTTCTTTGTAATGACATACAATGTGCACTGTCACTGCTTGAACTGAGCTATATGTTTATAGTGCTTGAACCATACACTGAAATGTGTAATGTCACTGCTTGAGTTTAATAAGCAGATATTTTTAGCGATACATTGAGCTTTGTGTATTTCTATACTGTGTATACTTTCACTGTTAAACTATGCAGTGAGCAGTATGTAACAATATATGCAGCTACAGCTTGATCTATATGTAGTGTCCTGCTTGTGCTTTAGCCATACACAAAGCTGTGTGTACTGTCACTGTCTGCTTCATACACATTGTGTGCTGCCATTGCTTGAATCATATGGTGAGCTGTCTGTAAGATGTACACTATGTCCTTCCACAACTTGTAACACAACTTAAGTAAAATATTGTTAATTCACTAAACTGAATTGTTGCAATTCCCTGATAAATCTTTACGTTCAATGGTAAAATACTTGAGTTGGAAACCTCCAGCTGCTATGGCCTACAATTTCCACTTCCCTACTGTATTCCCAACAACTCACAGTTTAACCTTGTTGGTGTGTACTTTCAGGACTTGAGCCTGGTCATCTCATGGATTATTGGGAACTGAAAGTGAATTTCACCTTTAAGGCCAAATTTCCTGAACAGAAAGAAAAGCTGACTTGGAGAGTTTTCCCATTTCTGCTCTTTTGGCCTTAAACCAAAACTTCAGGCACCATAACAATTTTACCTCACTTAAGTTGTAGTTCAGAACATCTCATGTGCCATTGTATGTTGTTTAAATGCAGACACTGAACATTCCTCATAGAGATTCATTGATTCAATTCATCTCTGTGAGGAGATGCTGATTGGCCAGGGCTGTTTCTGAATAATATTGGCTCTGAAACTGCTATGTTTACAACTGCAGGGTTAACACTAGATGGACCTGGCACCCAGATCACTACATTGAGCTGAAGTGCTCTGGGTGCCTATGGTGGTCCTTTAATGTGTGGTTATACTTGCAGAACCTAAATTTAATTTAAATGTTCTATATTTCCCTTATTTTAAAGGGAAAATAGGTCACATCTAAAATTCAGTGCTCTTAGACATTACAAAAATATTATCTTCAGTAGATGTTCCCCTTACCTACCAGTTCTGATATGGCTAAAGGGAGACTCTATAGTCCCAATACAAAACAAATCTCTGTTCAGCAGATATACCCACATTAAAATGTGCATGCATTTAATTATGCATTTTGTTTTATTGGGGTATATCTATAAACAGCTTGCAAAGATTGTAGGTCTCTCGCCTGAAAACTTTGCAAGCCCAGCACAGATTTGTTTAAAAAAAAAAAAAAAAAAATTTGTTGTCTTCCTCTTGAGTTTTAACAGTCATGGGGTGTAACAAGGTACATTTATGTAGGTGCCCACATGCTTTGTAATCTGAATTTTGTGTAAAATAAAGAAAATGGCACTCTTTACACACACAGCATTTCAGCCATATACGGTTCTTAAGGTATCTGGAGTGTTCCTTTGGGCTACTGTAGAATACTTTTTAGATTTTATGGTTTAATATTAATATGTACTCCTTTATACATTAATTACATTTATTTTGTTTGTAGAATGAAAAGAGGATGTAAAGCTAGTGAAAGCAGCATTTTCCCTGGTGGGGATTTAGAACGTTCGAAGAAGATGAAGAAGAAGAAGAAGAATAGAAAAGATGAATACACAGATGTGTCAAGGATTCATGATTGGGGAAATTTGCTTCCAGACATCATACTCCAAGTTTTTCAGTATTTGCCTCTGCTGGACCGTGCTCATGCCTCACAAGTTTGTCGAAACTGGAATCATGTTTTCCATATGCCTGATCTGTGGAGATGCTTTGAATTTGAACTGAATCAGCCTGCTACATCTTATCTGAAGGCAACACATCCAGACTTGATTAAGCAGATTATCAAGAGACACTCAAATCACTTGCAATATGTCAGTTTTAAGGTGAGTCGTATGATCGGTAAATTATATTTCATTTACTACAGCATATTGAAACCCAATGCATGTTTTGTTTGTTGTTTATTTTATTATAAACACTCTTATACAGGTTTTTTTTCTTTCTTTTTTTTTTCCCCCAAAATGTTCCATAACTAAGGGTCCCTGCGTAAAGTTTGGTTAACTTGGCAGGTTAAAGTGTGACGCACAATGCCTGGATTTGCTGGGAATTGTTCTCTGAATTTCTTTGTCCAAGTTGGACTACATAAGGGGAAACTTGAGAGATGCAAGTCAATGTAACATTGATTTTATATTTGCATAAAGTTCTGAGGAGAATTGTTCTATTTTTATTTTTTAGTTTAATTTATTGTGTTTTTGAATGACTACAACTTATTTGTATTTGATATATTATATCCTAGTGCTCCATCAGTGAAAACATTTTTCTTCTATAATATATGTATAGGCTGAAATACCTGGCACTCAGGATGCAAAACATGGCAGGGTGCACTACCAGGGCTCCAACATCCAATTTGCAAATAGACAGCTGCACTCTCGGTCTTTCAATAAAAATTTACTTTTATTCCATAGTAGTTAAAAACTGGATCAACGTTTCAGTCTCACATAGAGATTTTCTTCAGGATCATAGATATACATTTGTTCCCTCAATCCTATTCCCTCATATCTCATTCGCATTATGTCTCCCTCTCTTGCTCTTCCTCTCAATTTTCAAACTCTTCCTTTCTTCTGGCACATTCCCCTCACCCTTCAAACATGCAACTGTAACCCCAATTCTGAAAAAGCCCAGCCTTGACCCCAACTCCCCATCCAACTACCACCCTATCTTGCTACTGCCATTTGCCTCCAAGATCCTCAAGAGTTGTGTACATCAGACTGACTTTCTTGAATCCAAATCTCTGCTTGACCCCCTTCAGTCTGGATACCGCGCTGGTCATTCTGTTGAAATGGCTGTGACCAAAGTATCCAACGATTTAATTGCTGCTAAATCTCTTATTCTAATTCTCCTTGATCTTTCTGCTGCCTTTGCAGCTTCTTCGCATTCTCCATAATTTTGGTCCACAGGATACTGCTCTCTCCTGGTGCTCCTCCTACCTCTCCCAGCGCTCTTTCAGTGTTTCTTTCTCTGACACTGCCTCTTCTTCGCCCCACCCCCCTCTCTGTTGGCGTCCCCCAAGGTTCTGTCTTTGGTCCACTATTGTTCTCCATCTATACTGCCTCCCTTGGTAAACTCATCAGCTCATTTGGCTTCCGTTATCACTTATATGCAGATGACACGCAAATCTACCTGTGCTCTCCTGATATTGACTCGTGTCTCTGACTGACTGCCTCTCTGCGATTTCCAACTGGATGGCTGCTCACTTCCTTAAACTCAGCCTGTCCAAAACAGAACTTCTGGTCTTTCCTCCCTCAAGTGTTACTACTCCTGTGTCTGTCTCCCTCCAAGTCTACGGCGCTACCATCACCTCTACCTCGCAGGCTCACTGCCTGGGTGTTCTTTTTGACTCCAACCTCTCTTTTACCCCTCATATCCTGTCACTTCCATCTCAAAAACATAGCGCGCATCCACCCCTATTTAAACCCGGATGCGGCTAAGGTGCTGGTCCGTGCTGTTCTCTCTCGCCTTGACTACTGCAATCCCCTTCTCAGTGGTCTTGCGTCTTCCCAGATTGCACCGCTGCAATCTATAATGAATGCGGCGGCGAGGCTCATTTTCCTGTCCGCTCGTACCTCCCACGCCTCTCGGTCAGTCCCTGCATTGGCTTCCAGTTAGATATAGGGCTCAATTTAAAATTCTGGTGCTTGCTTACAAGTCCCTATATAATGTTGCTCCAACCTACCTATCCTCCCTAATACGCAAGTATGTCCCGTCGAGGCCCCTACGCTCTGCCAAAGACCTATGTATATCCTCTGTCCGTACTCCCACCTCTAATGCTCACCTCCACGATTTCTCCAGGGCTGCACTTCTTCTGTGGAACTCCCTTCCTTTCTCCGTAAGACTTTCACCCAGTCTCCACTCATTCAAAAAAATCATTGAAAACACCCTTCTTCAAGAAAGCATATCAATTAAACTGTTGGCAGGTTTTTATCCTCCTTCCCCCATGACTCCTCTCCTGCAACTGTCAAAATTACCTACTAAGCCCTCAGTGAATACCTTTCTAACAACCTACTTCGTACCCCTACTTTTACCATTTGTGTCACTATACCCCACTCCCTCTAGAATGTAAACTCATTAAGCATGCCCCTCCACCTCTCTTTTCCTGTTCGTCCAGTTACAATTACATGTCTGTTAGTCCACCCATTGTACAGCTACGGAATCTGATAGCGCTATGTAAATATTAAAATAATAGACATATATCAAACAATGTGAGTGTATATATGACACATAAATGGGAATATTGATCTACCCCAGGTACAGTGTGTTGAGAACGGCGTCCGGCCGGATCCTATGCGCGTGTGTGTTGGAGCTCCACCCCTAATTGTGATGATGCCGCTGTTGTTACCATAGCTATGCGGCTTAATTAAAGTCTCTATGAGGACCGTGTATACAATAAAGTGAGCTCCCACTTTTTAGTGCGATCTGCAAATAAACAGCCTAAGGGACTTTGTATTATGAAGTGCAGAATACCTATATCAAAGACCTGAGAATAAAGGACGATTATATAAAAAAAAAAAAAAACTTCTAAGAGATGTAAGATATGCAGTGCGGAATACTGTAGAGTGCTGTATAATTTAATGTGCAATCATGTCTACAGTGGTTCACTGATATATAGAAAGTGACTTAGTGCTGAATTGTTAAAATATTAAAATACAGTGATGTGTGCATAAAAACTGACCGTGAAAACGATGATACAATATATAAAGAGCTATAATTGCAGACTTCAGTTTTTATGCACATCTATAAACAGCAACTACATTAAGGCAGTTTATTGAGCAGCCTTTTTAATTTTCATCCTTGCGTCTGCTATATAATGTGTGTGTGTGTGTGTGTGTGTGTGTGTGTGTGTGTATATCTAGTTCAACTTCTGCATGTCATTGTGTCCTTCTGTTTTTAGGTTGACAGTAGTAAAGAATCAGCAGAAGCCGCTTGCGATATCCTATCACAGCTTGTAAACTGTTCTCTGAAAACGCTTGGACTCATTTCCACTGCAAGACCTAGCTTTATGGATTTACCAAAGGTACATTCTTATGATATGAGACACCAAGCCCTACTGTATATGTTGTATGTACTATCTTTTTGTCACTTGTGAAGTTTGCAAATAAGAAAACAGATTTTTATTTTTAATATAATTTATCTAGTTAATACATTGTTAAACACAGATCTGCACACACCAGTCAAGCCATAAGATTTGCTTTTTCCACAAGAATATCAAATTTGCAGTGATGTTACTACTGCAAGCGATTCTGGGTGGGCATATGCAAATTAGTTCTATAAAGAATAACCTTTTTGCTTCACTATTCTATTTTAAACATGGATTCCTTGGAGTTTGTTTGCTCTGTACCAAAGCTTTGAAGCACAACTCAGGAAGAGATACAAAGCCAGTGAACCACTGTGGGGATATTTATGGGATAATAATAGTAAACAGTTGAGAATTGCCCACTAATTCAATTCTCAGATCCCAAATAACGTTTATCGTAAGTGAAAGTATTTCATATAAATAATATCATAATCTTTTTTTATAAAAATAGATTTTATTTTTAATGACAAGTTAATTAATAATAATATATGTAACATGCATGACAATAATCAATGAATATTCAGTATAAAATGGTATGCAATACAAAGAAATGGGTATTACGTTTCAATGGCTAAACGGCATTATCTGTCAAGACTTCTACGATTTATGACTAGCTTTCACAGACTTAAAGTGAAACTTTTCACAGCGAAGAACAGAATTCCTCAGAGTGCAACGTTAGGTCGTAAAGTTTAGCCGACAGTTAGAATAACCCTTTCAATGCTGGCTAGATCTCCTAGGTAGTTAAGATCTATTCTTATGTAATTTTTAAATAAAATAACATTTAAACCAGTTCACTAGTCATTTTCTTAAACCATCCAATAAGAGAATTTAATATATTATATAAGCAGATTTTTAATTTGTCTAAAAGATATCTATCTTAATTTAGAGCAAATCAATACACCTGGATAAAAACAGCGGTATGCTAACACGTGATAATATCACATCAATATATAATTATTCTTAATTCCACCTGCAGAATGGAATGTTTATAACTATATATTCTTAGTTAACTAAGATTTCTTAATATGGAAATCTGACCGTGCTTTATCCAGTCATATATAATGCTATTAATACATTTTAATTAATTTAATTTAATTAAATGAAACCAGTATAATTACCAGTTGAGTAGATATTTCATCCGATTGGTAGTCTCTCTGCATGGAGGTGTTGGTTAGAAAGTCAGTAAATTCTAAGTGTTAGAGTTTTAGGAGTAGAGTGTTAGTCTCAGATGTTGTCCGAGTTGGAGTCCCCAAACTTCCAATTCCTCTCCTTTCTCTCCTTTGCATATCTTGCATCTGCCTCCTTCGTATTTCTCTATCTTCCCTTTGTCTTAACTTTTAAAGGGCCAGACTCTCTGTACGTCATCAGTTGATAACCCAATAGAAGCACTAGAGGTGTGGTTATCTTCCAGATCGCAAATTAGTTATTTGGTCTGTAGAGGGCAGTCTTGTCCCACTAAACATACCTATCCAGGAAAGAGTTAACTCTTCCTGGTGACTATTTTGACGTCATTTTGCGTTATCTTTATAGTGCCATAATTTAAAATTTCAAAGGATTTCTTAAATTTTGTCCAGACTTAGCGACTGCAATTCCTGCCATAATTTCTGATATGACAGATCATGAACTAAGTTTACCCTTTTCCATACAATGGTACCTTATATATATAGACAGTTAAATATTAAATTATTTAATCTTCTCTGTCACAATTGTCTGGGTTTAGATTTGATTATATTCCATTAGCATTTTAGACAGTCTATCCAACCCCCTTCCTTATCACTTGTTTGTACTATGCATTCCTTAGCTCTGGCAAAGAGGCCAGTCTTACAGAAAGAAATCTAGTGTCTTCTTTGTTAACTTGAAATAACAAAATGGAGTCTGGTCTGTTCAGAGTGACTCAGAATATACACTTTTAGTTTCTATCATAGCACAAAATGTCTGCCGATATAAATACTCTGACATAACCCCCCTTTAGTGCATTTCATAGCCAAAATTAATTTAGCTTATGAATAAGCACTATAGAAGTTATCAGACATATTGTGCAATCACATCATTTCTAACATAGTACATTATTTTCATTTGAAAAATGTCTTTGGGAGTTACATATGGTATGGTCAATAAAAAGCAAATCTCCATACGTTCCGGATCAATTAAGAGAGGTATAGCGCTCCCCATCTCAAAGGCCAGATTTAATTGCATAGGCTCAATTGTCTCTCCATCCACATTGGCAAGCATCGCATGAACAATATCCTTGGATACAAAATACAGAGGTATGCGTCCCCCTGCCAATTCGATCATTCCAGTTTGCACTTCGTCAAGAAAAGCAAGTGTGTGGAACAATATTGGGTCATGCAGAAATAGAAGTTCACGCTTAAATAAGTCATGACTTTGGTGCAACTCAGTGGATTTGGCAATTAACTCCGAATGCAAATTTGTTGTAACAACTGTGTCTTCCACAATAGTTAACACGTCTTGGAGAAGTGTTCTTTGCTGGTTTATCACCTGATGAATATCGTTAATGTGTTGCTTTAGCGCATAGATTTCCATATCCAGCTTTTGGACAGTAATAGAGTTGGCTGCAGACATTCCAGTTGCGACAACTGCACCGACAGTGGCACAAACTAATGCAACAATTATAGCGGTGAGGAACCTTTTGGGTCGGTTGCTCATCGGAATAGAACTGGATACAAATGGTTTCCGGGCTTGCTCCAAGATGTTTCGCACACGGTCCTGTGCTCTTTGGAGGTGCATCTGGTACCAAGTCTGTAACTCAGGAAGCTGCATCGATGAAATGTTGTATGCCTTCTCGATGGAAATCTTGGGGTCCAAGCTGACGAACACACGTCGGGTCAGGATCCTCTTCTCTGTTAAGATGAACCCTGGTGTCTCTTGAATCAGGATGCCGGAGGATGGTCCCATCTCTGCAATCGGGTCGGTCCGTAGCTCTTGGCACAGGAGCAGTACGATCCAGAAACACGCCACATCCTTCTTGGACATCTTTCGACAGTCACGGATCAGGAACTCGTTTCAGACTTATCTACTAATGATTCAAGGTTTGTTAAGCATACAAACTTATAACAGTGTGACATCACTTGGCCTAGGACAACACATTATTACGATTCATCAACATATGTATTCTGTCTAATTCTATTTTTATAACTTCATCCCTCACTACATTTATTACTGACTCTTCAGTAATTTGCCTATAGCAGTTAAACAAGCTAGTAACCTGCTTATAAAATGTAGTTATTGGATGGCAAGGAAATGGTTAATGACATGAACGTACATGAGATCATGGCACATCACAACATTTCACATCATACTATACCACGTGAATCAAGCATTCATCCAGGTTAGTCGTTCACCCTTCTGCGTCTGAATCCACACCTATAATCCTTAATTGAGATTTAGGATGACAAGCACGCAACTGGTTAATGTGAACCCACTTTTCAATAAAATCACCATCCTTAGGAATTTTTATCTTATACGCTACTGGGGAAATTTTGTCAATAATGACATATGGCCCTTTCCAAGAAGGTAAAAATTTATTTTCCTTTACTTGATTTCGCGCAAAGTTATACAGATAGACTTGATCTGTTATCTCATATTCCTTTTTCGTGGTTTTTAAATCGTAATAGGTCTTAACCCCTGTCGCTGCTTTTTCTAGATTCTTTTGGGCAAAAGCAAATGCATGCTGTAAATGCTTGCGCAAATCTTCATATACTGATGCGTAGTGGCAGCATTGATCAAGTTATGATCCGAAGTACGATATAGTAAATGCTGTGGTAAAACCATCTTTCTTCCTGTCATCAATTCAAAAGGTGACAATTTGGTAGCAGTGCTAGGTGTGGCTCTAATCGCCATTAAAACTAGGGGCAATTTAATGTCCCAGTCTTTACCAGACTCCTTAACATACTTCTTCAGAATATTAACGATAGACTGGTTATATCGCTCTACCCCCCCGCTAGACGCAGCGCGGTATGCAATATGTAGCTTTCGTTTAACACCTAGAATGTTCCACATCTTAGCCATTACTTCGCTGGTAAAATGACTACCTCTGTCTGACTCAATTCTTTGAGGCAGACCGAACCTGGAAAAGACATGGTTAATCAACAAAGTGGCGCACACGGTACTCGTGTTCTCTTTACAAGGCAAACATTCTATCCACTTTGTGTACATACATGTAACGGTTAACATGTATTTGTTACCTCTTGAAGATCTTGTTACAGGACCTATAAAGTCAATTTGAATATCAGACCAGGGTAATGACACCCCCCTCTTCTGAAGTGGTGCACGATGGGTTGGACCATGGGGTTGATATTGCGGACAAATCAAGCATCCCTGACAGTATGTCTTAACATCCCTTAACATGTGTGGCCAATATGCATAATCACGCAATATCTCATATGTGATCTTATCACCACGATGCCCAGATGTAGGTGCATCATGTGCGTGTTGGAGCATTAACCCTCTGTATACAGTTGGGACTACCCATTGTTGTATACCATGTTTAGAAGTTCTGACCAGTAACCCATCCATGATACTAAATTGGACTTTATATCTCATCAAGATTCGTAAATCTTCATTATCTTTGCAATCCTCATCTGTGATGGGATTGGCAGTAGGGTCTTCTATATGTCTATAGAATATGCCTATGACGGGATCATTCTTTTGACTGGTAATCAGGTCCTCACTAGGAGCTTCTTGACTCCATTGCACGACGTTTAAGTCGGCATTATCTCTAGCCTGTCGTCTAGTTATGGCTTCAACATGAATTGAACCCATAAGATCATCAATGTTTAGGGTTTCACCATTGATGGCAGCTTGTTTTGCCAGTGAATCGGCTAAGTCATTACCATCCTTGTCAATACCTTCTATTTTAGAATGGCCTTTGGTTTTCTTCCAATATATGGTTAAACCATTTTCCTTAACCAACTCATCGATTTTACAAAACAATTTCCCATGTTTAACAGGTTTGTTATTGCTTTTCAGCATTTGGTTACGTTTCCAGCTAG